ATGAGAGTACAAAAGGAACGATGAACCCGAGAACCCATGAGGAAAACATAAGAGCGATCAATCCTCAAAAGAGAAAGAAAAAACAGGCAACTTACAAAAGAAGGAGCCCAAAGGCTCACACACATGACAGAACGCTCAAGTCATGTGAGTCAGAGAGCTGCAAATCACAACAGTAGGAAGATACTACTTTTCTCCTGTTAGTATCCTGGTTAAAAAAGCAAAGAGGAAAAACATGTAAAGACAGAAAACAAACTGGAAAATGAATCGTGTCCCATCTGAGGGCTCAAACCTGCTTTTCTTGTTTTCAAGGAAGCCGAAGGTGTGGGATAAAGCTGGCCCTTGGCCCTGAATGGGACTCCTGGGCTCCCTGGGGCTGCAGCGCGGATATGTCTGCCGCCTGGAAAGCCAAAGGCAGTGTGGTGGCCAGACCACTAAAGCTGCAGCGAGGCCCCAGAATGACAACGACACCAGCGATAGCCCAGCAAACGTGGCCCGGAGCGCCCCCTGGACCAGCACAGGTGAAGTCCTGAACACACAGTGATCATTTTAAATACAAAACACCTGCTCCTTCAGTCGGCCCCAAGCCTGCCTCAGCGCCTTGGAGTCAAAGGCTCCCAGAATGCACGGCCTTGTCCACAGGGTCAGGCAGAGCAAGGGCGGTGGCATTTGCACTCAGCTCCCCTGGGCCCCCCTGTGTCCCGCAGCCTCTCGTTGGCCTCTCAGAGGCTCGGTCTCCTCAACAGATGCAGAAGATGGTGTCCCCTTTTCGTGCAGGCCTGTGGGAGGGATTGGAAAGCTTATCTGAGAGGCAGAAGTTGCTCCCCAAACACGCATTGCCGCACCAGGACTGGATTAGAAAGGGATTACCCATCCCTAACGACGCGGCCACCCCTGTGCTGGGCCGCTTTTGAGGAAATTTTTAACTTCCCCTCTGAGTTTGTTCACGGAAGGACCTGTGTTTGCCTGCAGGAAGACAGGCTGCCAGGCTGGCTAAGCAGGTCTCTTGAGTAAGAGCCATGTGGCTGGTACACAGCTGATGTTACTTTCACATTATGTAAATAGGCAACAGGGCATCGGGGTGCCTTGATCAGTGAAGCAGGAAACTACACAGAGCACAGGGAACGAGTCCATCTGCTGGCCCCACACTTCACAGCTCAAAACCTGAACCCTCCCTTCCGCCCTTGTCAAATGTTGTCCATTAGCCACCTGGCCTCGGGGGCACATGGACGTTCAGGAGACAAGAGATAGAGTGCAGTGTGCAGGCTTCAGGGCAGGGGGTTGATGGGAACTCTTCCAGGACAGGATGCTTCCTGGCCCTCAGGGTCCCACCCACAGAACCTGTCTCCATTGATCCAAAATGCCTCCTCCAGGACCTGCCTCTGCCAGGAGCCGAGAGGTGGGAGAGGCCAAGATGAACAGCAGTCCCAACCCCTGGTACATTTGCAATAAAAACACTGCTCCCTCCTGCCGGGCATGATCACCTGCCATGCAGCCAGCTCTCCGTGTTTCCTTATCTGCCGTCCTCCTGGCAAGTGAGAACGTAAACAGAGGGTGAATCCCGCTGCAAGGACTTCATTGTGGGGTGTAGAAGTCCACAGGCTCAGCACCTAGAGCTTCACCTGCCTTCAATCCCATTGTGTGGGAACTCGCTACTCATCAACTCTATTACCCTTAAAACATGGTATGAATCCAGGAATTATGGAATCAGAGCCAGGAGGGGCCCGGAGATTAGCTTGCTCTAAACTCCAGGTTCCAGACCAGGACTGTGGGCACAGGAGGCCTTGGGGACATGTTGAAGGAGAGGGCAATTTATTGTACTAAGTGCTTCTGTCAGAAAAGGAAGGTCTCAAATCAACCATCTTAAGCTTTGACTAAAGACACTTGGAAAAGAAGAGCAAATGAAAACCCGGGGGAGGAGAAGAAGGACGAGGGCAGAAGTCAAGGTCAAGGCCACAGAGAACAAGAGAAAAGTCAATGAAATCAAAGCTGGCTCTCTGAGAAGATCGATATAATTGATAAACTTCTAGCCAGGCTGACCAGGGAAAATATTAGAAGAATGAATTTATCAACACCAACAAAAAAAGTTTTTTACTCTTCCTATATATTTTACTAAATTATTACTAAACATTTTTAGAAATTAAAAGGATAATGAGGGAAGCCTACACACAACATTAGGCTTATTATTCAAACCCTTAAAGGAAATGAATCTACTCCTCAATTGACACAAACTATTGAAACTTATTAAATATGAAACAGATATGTGGGGTGTCTGATATCTACGGAAGAAAACTCCAGTTTCTTAGAAAATTTTACCAAACATTTAAAGAAGGCAAAAGGCCAACTCTACACAGTTTCTTACAGCAAAGAGAAAAGGAGGCTCCCCTTGCCAACTGCTTTCATGAGGACAGCCTTTTCACAGCCAATGACATCACAGGAAGGAAAACTACAGGCCAACATCCTCAGGAATACAGGCATGAAAATCTTGAGTAAAATACTAGCAAATCAAATCCAGCAACATACCACAAGGACAATACATCACAGCCCGGAGGTCTTACTAGGGGACCCAGGACTGCTTCCACATTCAGAAATCAGTGAACGTGTATACGCAGCACCTCTGTTCCAGCTTCCAAATTTCGCATAAATCTACAACTATTTCAAAATGAAAGTTAAAAAAAAATCAGTGAATGTAATTCATCATATTAGCGGACTTAAAAAAGAACATTCTATGATGCATAAAAAGCAGTTCATGAAAGTCAACATCCACTGATAGAATCTCTCAGCAGGACAAGGGAACTTCCCACCTGAGAAAGCTCCACTGGAAAACACTGCCACTAACACGATCCATAACGGAAAGACTGAGCGTGTTCCCAAGTTCTGGGAAGGGTGAGTACTCGTACATGTGCCCCCTCGCTCTATCCACGGGGAGGGACTGGGGGAAGTGACATCCTAGAAGCAATGAGCACACACAGCTCCAGATCTTAGCCTCTGAATGCCATCGCCCGCTAACAGGGACCAGCGCTCCATGTAGAAGCGGTTCATTCCAGGGAGGGGACAGGGAAAGTTCAAGGTGAGCTTGCACCAGAAAGAGAGAAGTCAAGAAGACGTGGCACGCTGAAAGCGTCCAAGAGCCAAATGAAGGCGCTCTTGTTGGTCAAAGTTGAGACGACTTGAATAACAAAACTTGAAAATGATAATATTGTCATACAACTCAATAAAATAGATACTCTTCAGTCCATATTGAAATCAATAACAGAACAAATAAACAAACGGAAGAGAAAGGACAAGTCTTCCTCACAGAAGAATTGTAACTGGTAACCAGTGATGGCCTGAGGAAGGAAAGCAATCACCATTAAAAACTGCAGGGACGGTGGCTGCAGGCACTGTCCCCAGATGGCACTGAAGCCATGGAGCGGAGGTTTCAGTAGAAACGGGGTGTTTGCGAAGTCTTAAACAATCTCCCCCAAATGTTTTATTAATTGAAAAGAGGAAAATGGTCACATTCCCAGAGACGAGACCCACGGACAGCCTGTGCCCCAGCCTCCCTGGACACATGACTTCTGTGGGGTTCTGCCCCCTGTGTAGCAACCCCAGTTACCGTGAGAAAACTTCAGACAAACCCAAACTGAGGGACGCTCTTCAACACGCCCGAGCAGTGCTCCTCGGGGGTGTCAAGGTCATAAAGCACAAGGAAGCTGAGCAATTGTCCCAGGCAGGAGAAGCAGACCTGAAAAGGGCCATGTGGGGTTAGGGAACAGGGGGAGCACATTCGCGGGGAGCTGGTGGGTCCAAAGCAGTCTGTTCTTTAGTGACTCGTAAGGTACCAATGTGGTTTCTAAAATTTGGTAATTGATCTACGGTTAGGTAAGAAGGCAAGGGGTATATGTAAGTTCTCTGTACTTTTTTATGATTATTTGATAAAATAAACTTAAAAAAAAAAATCAAGCCATTCCTGGACACGCAGAAGTGACGTGCATGCTGCCAAAACCATCATGCCACATGCTGCCTGCGCCCCATATGACACCTGCTACAGACCCAAAGCCCCAAGAAAGGAGCCCCGCTCAACCCCTCCTCCATCCCTGAGGCTGGCATTGCGTTTGCTTCAGAGCAAGTGCTTGTGATGGGCTGAATTGTGCCCCCAAAATGTTGCTGTGGCCCTCCTCCCAGGACCTATGAACAGGACCTTTTTTGGAAATAGAGTCTCTGTAGGTGCAATCAAGTTAAATTGAGGTCATTAGGGTGGGTTCTAATCCAATGTGACTTATGTCCTTGTAAAAAGGGGACATTTGGACACAGGGAGAAGGCCTTGTAAACATGGGGGCTGAGATTGGGGTGATGCTTCTACAAGCCAAGGAACCCCAAGATGGCCAGCAAACCACTGGAAGCTGGGGGAGAGCCGGGGGCAGATTCTCCTCTCAGCCTCAGAACCAACCCTGTGGACCCCTTGACCTCTGACCTCTGGCCTCCAGACTGCGACAGAGCACACTTGTGTTGCAGGAGCCCAACTGGCTGTGGTGCTTTGTTATGGCAGCCCCAGGCTACACGATATGACTCACATTGTCTTTATTTAGAAACCAAATAAGCTTCCAACCACAAGGCACATGACCTGCTACCGCTGGCAGGGCTGCGCCGGGGCTGCGATTGAGCATCACACTCGCCTGGGCTCTGCCGCAGCCCCCAGTGATCCCACTAAGACAACAAGGCAAACTGCACTCTGCCCCACCTTTCTTTCTAGGACTAAAAACAGGCACACACACACCATCCAATTCTAAGAATTTTGTGAGCTGAGCAATGACTCCTGGGACTAAGACATCTGCTATTTATTCTCCAGGACCCGCTCTCAGCAAAACAAGGAAGAGCAGTGTGGGCCGCCTGCTGGGGCAACACTCACCCTGGGAGGGTATAAAAGCTGTGCAGCCCCAGCACCTCACACACTCACTCACATTCACACACTCACACACCCACACTCTCCTCCCAGCTCACCTCAGCCCCGCCGCCCCGCCATGGCCGCCTCCACCCTGTCCGTCCGCTCCAGCGACCTGAGCTATGGCAGCCGCGTCTGCCTGCCCGGTTCCAGTGACTCTTGCACCGACGCCCCCTGGCAGGTGGACGACTGTCCAGAGAGCTGCTGTGAGCCCTCCTGCTGCGCCCCCAGCTGCTGCCCATCCACCTGCTGTGCCCCCAGCTGCTGCCTGTCCACCTGCTGTGTCCCCAGCTGCTGCCAGCCCTCCTGCTGCGTCCCCAGCTGCTGCCCCTCCACCTGCTGTGTCTCCAGCTGTTGCCAGCCCTCCTGCTGTGTCCCCAGCTGCTGCCAGCCCTCCTGCTGTGTCCCCAGCTGCTGCCAGCCGGCCTGCTGCACGACCATCTGCTGCAGGCCTGTGTGCTGCAGGCCCGTGTGCTGCACGCCCGTCTGCTGCACGCCCGTCTGCTGCAGGCCCGCGTGCTGTGTGCCCATCTGCTCTGGGGCCGCCTCCTTGTGCTGCCAGCCCACCGCCTGCCCCTCGGCCTGCTGCGGACCCTCCTCCTGCATGTCCCTCATCTGCCGCCCCGTGTGCAGACCCGCCTGCTGCGTGCCCGTCTCCTCCTGCTGTGGCCCCTCCTGCTGCCAGCCCAGCTGCTGCCGCCCGGCCTCCTGCGTGTCCCTCATCTGCCGCCCCGTGTGCCCCCGCCCAGCCTGCTGCATCCCTGCCTCAGCCCAGAAGTCCTGCTGCTGACCGAACACATCCCCCCAGGGCCAGCCAGGCTCAGGTCCCACCCCGTGACTGTGGTTCTCCCAGCTGCCCCTCAGTCTGGGCCTGCGCCATGTCAGGAGGTAGCCCTCACGCAGGGCAGGGTCAGGTCCCACTCGGAAGCTGACTGCCATGCCCTGCGATGCTCCAGCACTTTGACCATTTCCTGAGTTGGACAATGTAGAAGAACCAAATGATCATACTCAATGCTACAACTCTTGAGGGGCTCCTAGGAAGTCCTCATGGCAATGGTCCCCTCCTTATCTCCTGCCCCTCTTGAGGACCAGCTCAGCCTCCGGCAGCCTCTGACCCTGCACCTTGTCTGGATGCACTTGAGCAAACTGGCCAATAAACACCCCTGAATAGAGCACTGCACTCGTGGCCATGTGTCTTTATTGCCGTTTCTCAGCTTGACTACCCATCTACCTTTCTCCTTTGTACATGACACTCTGCCACTGTGCCACTCTGCCCAGTGTGGCTTCCTGTGGCTCCCAGGTTTCCCAGGGACGGGCTTCACAGCTCCTTGGCCATTTGGGGCCATCCTGAATTGATCCTTCACCCTCCTGTACTATTACTCATTGAACAGTTCCTTTTTTGATTTGACTCTGTACCTTTCCCACAGACATCTTTACCACGGGGTCTGTGTGAACAGGACACCACTGAACCCTGGGAGGAATGGACATTGGTGATGTTTCACATGGAGCCCAGAGCCCCCAAAAGGGGCTGAGGTTTCTCTTATCTTTACAAGACCCACTGTTAGGCTGTGCAGGGTCCGTTGCTCCGGGGGGAGTGTGGGCGGCCCAGGGCAGCCCTCGGGGAAGTCGGCATGTCTCAGCTGGAGCTTCAGTTTAGCTAGAGCATGTCCCAGGGTGGGAGCAGGGACACGGCTTCAGAGTCAGGAAAGAACTTGTGGAGTCAAAGAGGGGAGCAAGGGATTGGGCTGGAAGAGAAAGAGTTTTCAAAAACAAGGAGCCAGGCTTTACTTTGACGCATGGTGGACCTAAATCTTCCTCCCACCCTACGTAAATAGAAAATGGGATGAAAAATATAAAAAGCCAGGTTTCAGACCCTGGACACCTGAGAGTTCAGTACTTGGATCCCTTAGGGAAGGGAAGCAAAGGAGGCAAGTCCTGTCATTTAATTTCCTAACACTGGGCAATTTTCCAGATAACTTTCTCTGAATGATTTGTGATTCTGGTGCGGTCAAACAACATTCTCTGTGTGATAGCATGCCTATTAAATATATTGAGACTTGTTTAATTGCCCTGGTTTGCTGACTGAGAGAGTTTCTGGGCCACAGCACGGGGAGCAATTACAAACAGCAGGAGGGTTTGCTGAGCTAAATGGGTAGGAATCAGAGTTCGTGGAGAGTGAGGCAGCTGGGATGCATGGGGCTGGCACGGGAGAGGGGAGAAATAGACAGAGAACACCTCCCATGAGTCCACTGCTGAACTCTAATCCATTCATTCAGAGCTCAAAACCCCATGAAGCTGGACAAGAGCAATTGCAGAGCTGTGAAAGTGAGCAGTTGCCAGAGCATACATGAGTGTAAGAGACGTTCGAGTCCCAAACAATCAGAGAGGGGAGACCTCGCTGAATACCAGAGGCATTCAGTACAGATCCCAGAAGAGTCACATCTTAATAGTAGTGCTAAACCTGTCCAAGAGTAAAGACTTCTCTAATCTGTCCTAACAAAACTTGAAAACAAGCATGAAAGCATCCAGAGCATCAGCTGATCCACAATCAGTAACTGCCAGACAGAACAAAGTTCAGAACTCTTTAAAGAAAAGGAAACAAAGTACAGCGTTCAATAGTATCATGGGTTTATTTTATTTGAAGTGCAGATTCAATAAAATATTAGTAGACACCTGAAAAAGAGGAAAATGTCCCCTATAACCATGAGATAAAACAATTTATAGAAACAAACCCACAGATAGAGTTGATAGAACTCGCAGACAAGGCAGTTAAAACAACCACTACAAATATGTTCCGGAGTTTAAAGGAAACTATGAACATAATGAGGAGAGAAATGGAAGATACAAAATAAAATAAAATGGAACTCCAAAAGCTGAAAAAATATAACATCAACAATAAACAATTAGAAGGATGAGCTTATAAGTAGTTTAGACACTGCAGTGATCCTGAAGACATAGCCATAGAAATTACCCAAACCAGAGGACAGTGAGGAAAAAATTAAAAGTCAAAACTTTACAGAGCCTCAGTGACCTGGGAAAGAGTTAAGTGGTCTAACATAAATACAAGTGGAGTATTTAAAAAAACACACACACAAAACAAAACAAAACAGAAGAGGGAGAGGGCAAAAAATATCTTAAGAGATAACAACCAAATATTTTTGTAATTTAATGAAATTGATAAGTACATAGAAAACTGGAAAAATGCTATGAACTAACCTGAGCTAATTGACATTTTATATAATATGTCATCCCCAAAACAGTAGAATTCACATTTTTAAGTGCATATGGAACATTCACCAAACTAAATCATATGGTAGGCCATCAAGTAAGTCTCAATGTACTAAATAGGATTGAAATCAGACAGAGAATGTTGTTTGACCACAACAGAATCAGCAGTCATTAACTGAAGGATATCTGGAAAATCATCCAATATCAGGAAATTAAACACCACACTTCAAAATAATCTTGAGTCAAAGAAAAAATCACAAGGGAAATTAGGAAATTTTTTGAATAAAATGAAAATAAACTTTGTGAGCTACAGCTAACACCGTGTACTGGGGAACTGTAAAGAAGGCAGGAATAAAATCAATTATCTAAGTTTCTACCCTAAGAAGCTATAAAAAGGAACACAGATTGAACCCAAAAATAATTTAAAGAAAGGAAATAATCAAGAAGTATAGAAATCTGTTGAATAGAAAATGGACAGACTGGAGAGAAAATCAATAGACCAAATTTGTTTTTATGAAAAGATCAATAAAACCGATACATTTTTAGCTTTCTCAGTCAAGAAAAAAAAGAACTGAATTACTAATATCATGAATGAAAGAAGGGTTATGAGCACAGATCTACGGACTAAAAGAATTAAAAAGGATGAAAACAAGCAACTTTGTGCTGATACATTTAACAACTTAGATGAAGTTTTTTCCAATAAGTGGAAAGACAAAAATTATTAAAACTAATACAAGATGAAATAGAAAATCTGTATATCCCTCTGCCAATTGAAGAAATTGAATTCATAGTTAAAACCTTTTCCACAAAGAAGACATGGAGGCCAAATGCCTGGGCCGCTGAAAATCCTAAGGGAGTAATATACATAAAAAAGCTATTAAATTCAAGTGAATTTAGCAAGGTTACAGGATATAAACTCAATATAAACAAACCAATTGTATCTCTACTCAGTAGCACTAAATATTCAAAAATAAAATAAATATACCATTAACTAAAACATTAAAAGTGAAATAGTATATAAAGTTAATAGCATACATACGTGGTCTATGTGTGAAAAATGACAAAATATTGTTGGAAAAAAGTAATCCTAAATGACTGAAGAGACATATTGTTTATTTATTTTAAAGATTTTATTTACTTATTTTTAGAGAAAGGGGAAGAGAGGGAGAGGAAGTGTGGTTGCCTCTTGCACGCCCCCAGCTGGGGACCTGGCCCACATCCCAGGCTTGCGCCCTGACTGGGAATCGAACTGGCGTCCCTTTGGTTTGCAGGTTGGTACTCAATCCACTGAGCCACACTAGCCAGGGCTTATGTTTACAAATTAAAAGACCCAATATTGTTAAAAATGTCAATTCTTCCCAAATTTATCTACAAGTTTAATGCAATTACAATAAAAATTCCAGCATGCTTTTCTGTAGGAACTAATGAGCTAATTCTAAAATATATTCTAAAAGCTGTATGAAAATATAAAGGATTTAGATTAGCCAACCAATCTGGAAAAAGAAAACCACAATTGGAGGAGTTGCATTGCTTGATTTCAGTACTTAAAGCTACATAGATCAAGACAGTGTGTTATTGGTGCAATAATAAACATATTTATTACTTGCATAATAATAAACATAGAAGGATAGCATAGGTGAGAAAGTGCACAAATAGATCTTCACATATGTGATCAATAGAGTTTTTTTGGCAAGGGTAACTCAATGGAGAAAGGATAATCTTAACAAATGATGCTGGAACAATTCACAGTATACTCAAACACTAACTTGAAATGGATCATAGAACTAAACATAAAAGTTAAAACCATAAAATACTAATAAATAAGCATAGGACTACATCTGTGTGACCTTGGGCCTAGGCAAAGATTTCTTAGATAGAACCATAGAAGAAAAACAGATCAATGGAATTTAATCAAAATTAAAGATGTCAGCTCTGAAAAAAATATAAAAAGGCCAGCTACAGATAGAGAGATTTTCCACTTACATATATGACACATGACTTGTACCCAGAGTATATAAAGAACACTTACGATATAATAATAAGGACAAGCCAGCTGATTCTGTACAAATGGGCAGAGGCTTGGAACTAAGGAAGACACTGCACTGAGGAAGACATACGAATGGCAAACGAGCAGAGGAGATGACTGCCTTCATAAGCTGCCAGGGAAACCAACATATCACTGCACACGCTACACCCACCGTGGGACCAGCCACGCTGCCCCAAGGTATTTACCCAAGAGAAATGAACACACATTGTGCACGAGTGTTTACGGTGGCTTGATTTGGAATCACCAAAACCTGGAGACAGCCCAGACCTACTTCGACAGGTGCACGGGTAAAGGACGGGCTAGCCTTTTCACAAAGCACAACTCAGCCGCTGAAAAGGAATTAACTGCAGATACATACAACAACAGAGACAAGTCAGAGGAGCCGGAGGCTGAGGGCACAAGCTGTACAATTTCTTTCATGTGACCTGTTTTTAATGAGACAGTGGGCAGGGGTGGCCCGGCTCCAGCAGAGGGTGGCCATTGGGAAGGGAGGCAAGGAACCTTTGGCCTGAAGG